TGATTTCAAGGATTATCCCTGGTCGGAGAAGAATGAGGCCGTGGCTGAGGAAGTGAAGGAGATACGGGACATGGTGAAGGGATTAACGAGACAGGTTACAGAGATTGTGAGCACTATAGGGGCCACGGCCTACGGGGACAAACCTGGAGGGCCCTATTCACTTCGCTGGGACCGTAGGAACAACGATCCCTGGAGGAGTTTCGAGGATAGAAATCCTCGGACGCTGACTGATTATCGTACGAGGGGAAGAGAGAGAGACGAAGAGCCATGGCGACGTAGGGACGATGAGATAGACCGAGACCGCAGAGATCGCGAGCCGTTTGTGCGAGCAAGGAGGCTGGATGATTACCCGCGAAGCCCTCGCTATGAGGCCGATCGGGGTAGAGGCGACTCCCGCGGCCGATGGGAGACAGATCAGGGCCGACGAGATGGATATAGGGATGACAGATATGAGAGATCGGACCGAGGTGGATATAGGGACGACAGATACGAGAGGTCGGGTCGAGATAGCTACAGAGGAAGTAGATATGAAAGAGGAGATCGGGACTAGGAACGACAAGATGGGTCGCGCGGACGGTTTGAGCGCGGGGGAGATGCGAGAGAGCAGCGCGATGAGTCGCGGGGGTGGTACAACCGAGGGGACCGACGCGATGAGTCACGAGGACGATATGACTCGGGGGACCACCGGAATGATTCGCGAGGGCGGTATGAGCAAGGAGGGTCTGGAGGAGACCGGCGCAACTATTCGCGCGGTCGGAATGAGAGAGGGGGATATGGCGTCTCATCAGAACCATATCCCAAGTCGCCTGACCCCAAGGTGGCCAGGAATTCGATCTCTAGAGGCGCAGACGACAGGGCATCTACTCCCAGGAACTCATGCGTCTACTGTAGAGGAGAAGATCATATCAAGAGGGATTGCCCGGACCTCAAACGGGCAATAGATGAGGGACTTGTCGTGCTTGACGACCACAAGTACGTCAAGTGGGCAGATGATCTCGGAGACGTATCGATGTTCCCTTCGATGAAGGAGAATGTCGAAGTAAGGAGAATAAAGACGAGTAAAGGAATGGAGCCGGTCAGGAGCCAGAGCATCAAGATAATATTTGAGGGGGATATCGCGACCACACCCATAAGGGTGGCAGCCACCAAGTCGGCAAGAGGGTCTACATCGAAGAAGACTGACACGGATTACGTGATGGCGGAGAAGGACGGGCAGCGGGTCGATGGAAAGGAGGTTATCCTTTCGCCGCGAAAGCGGGGAGTGAAGAAGTTCTTAATGAAGAGTTCGCTGGACGAGATTGACACGRWCGAGCCACTGAGGCGGGTCCTTCGGCAACCCATGCAGTGCTCTATTCTGGAGTACCTGGCGGCATCGAAGCCGGCTCGTGATGAGTTACAGATGATCACGCGGAAGACTCGCATATCTCTATCGGAGGAGGATCAGGGGGCACCCAAGGCGGAAGCTTCTACAGTAGCAGTAACGGGGGTGACTGCCAGAGCGGATCGCATGGCGACAGTCCTTCTCGATGGAATGGAAGGTGTGACTCCAGACAAGTTTTATATACTTGGTAGCGGGGCCGTGRAGACGATTATAAACGATGGAGCGGTACTCGATGCTGTGATCGATAACGGCAGTGAGGCTGTCATCATAGACGAGGACCTGGCAGTACAGGTTGGACTGGGCCTCGACAGGTCGTACCTATTCGAGATAGAGACGGCTGGTGGGAGAAAGCAATAGATCACTGGGGTTTGTCACAAGGCAGCCATAGAGGTCCAAGGGGTAAGAGTGACCCTGCCTGTTTTTGCGGTCAAGAACCGTAGCTCCGACCTGCTCTTGGGTCGAACGTGGCTGAGCCACGTGCATACGATGACAATAGAGCGACCTGATGGGAGCCAAACATTGTCCATTAGGAAGCCAGACGGGACGCGGGTAATGACTGAGACAGTGGAGCCTCCGGACCCGAGGAATAGAGCAGCTCTCGCTGTGGGTGCAAGACCCAGTGATCAGATTAAGTCGTTGCCTATCTCCAGCCGCGTGGTGCGATTTCGCGAGAAGAGATTTGGACCACTGCTCACAAAGGAAGAAGGTCGGATCGTGGAGGTGGAAGATTTAGGGAGTCGGCTAATAGTGGATGGCAACTCGTACCCAAAGGAAAGAGATGAGGAATTTGGCGGTGTGGTATCCGTGTCTTTTTTAAGGGCACGGCCCCCTATGGGGTCCTACCCAAGCGACACAAGCGAGTAGCTCAAAAAGTTAAGCCAGCGGCGGTGGGCCGCGAGCGATCGGCACTGGAAGGGGTATCAGAAGAAGAGATCACGAAAGAAATCAAAGAAAGAAAAAAAAAGGAGCCACAACGCCTAACGGAAGAGAGAATAGCAAGGATGGACATCGGAGATGAAAATCTGACCCCACAGGAGCGAGGACGTGTGATAGAAATTCTGAAGACATCTGATAAGGCAATAGCTTTCAGTGACGCGGAGCGCGGTAGGATTGACCCTCGATACGCTAAGCCAGCAAGGATTTACACGATACCACATGTTCCCTGGAACGACGCGGGATGGAAATACGCCCAGAAGGAGAAGGAAGAAGTTATCGCTTTCCTGAAACAAAAGATGGTTTCCCACGTTGCGGAGCCGTCTGATAGCGCTTATGC